GCAGGGCTGCCAGGGCCCACCCCCCGGCCGGCACTGACCCTGCCCCTAGTCAACGCTCCACGCCTCCGGGCGCAGTGTGGCGGCAAGGAACTGTGCATTAAAGCTAGGACTGTCCGGGACAGGGATTGCGTAACAGGTGGCCACCCTTCGCTTGAGGGGGTTTCCATTATATACATTATACAGGGTTGACCACAGATGTGAGCAATAAAACAGAGTCAGTTTGCCAGGATTACCCCCTAGCTGGCGGCTGTCTCTGCAGCTCCTATTGGCCGGGAATGGCGATCGTGGCCCTGTGCATTAAAGCTAGGACTGTCCGGGACAGGGATTGCGTAACAGGTGGCCACCCTTCGCTTGAGGGGGTTTCCATTATATACATTATACAGGGTTGACCACAGATGTGAGCAATAAAACAGAGTCAGTTTGCCAGGATTACCCCCTAGCTGGCGGCTGTCTCTGCAGCTCCTATTGGCCGGGAATGGCGATCGTGGCCAATGGGTGCTGCAATCACCATACCTGCAGAGGCGCAGATAAACATAGCAGCAGCAGCCTACTGCAGGCTAACCCTGGGGAACCGGAGCTGGCCCAGAGGCCGGTACTTGCCCATCCCTGGTTTACAGTTTGGTTCAGTGACTCTCAGCACCCCATGATACAAATTGTTCTAGTGCCCTTGTTCATAGCCCTTTACATAAAGGAGCATGACACACTTATTGCTCACTTCATGTTCAAAATTCACGAACTGGGTCCAAAAATCATGAGATTTTAAAAAATAATCAATTTTAGGTCTTCTTAATTTGTCACCTGGCTTGTGAGCCTTTGGAATGCACTATGTGCTTTCAAGCTTTTCTCTACAACCACAAGGTTTAAAAATGCACTTTTTAAAAATATTGAAGCCGAGATTTTCATGAAAACTCTGGTTCCAACAGCTGGGATGTTAAGATAAACACTGAATGCTGTGAGGCTCATGTCAGAATGACAAGAGCTGGCAATGCTGACTGAGATCTTTAACAAAGACAAATTTAATCCCAAGCAGTTAAGTAGATGTGTTAAACAAAAAACAGAGTTCTCATCAGTGAGAACAAGACCCATTTTGTTTGCAGCTGATCAGGGTTTCACTTCTGCAGAGACTTTGATAACATTGCCCAATCATCCAGAGTTTACCATAGACCAATGGTGGATACAACTATAATTTTAATTATTATTGAACACATCAGTAGTACCCAAAAAGATCTAAATGAGGAGTAGCCCTCCCATTGTGCTAGACCAGTGGTCTCCAATCTTTTAAGGTCACCTTTTCAATTTAAATGTAATGTAAGATCTACCTCAAAACCAAATACTCTGGCCTGGATTTCTTCCAGCCTCTTCTCTGAGGCCTTGCCCCTCTTCCACCCCTTCTTTGAGGCCTCACCCTGCTCACTCCAGCCCCCTTCCTCACTCACTTTCACTGGTCTAGGGTAAGGGGCTGGGGTGCAGGCTCTGGTCTTAGGCCAAGGAGTGTGGGAGGGGCTCTGGGCTTAGCCCTCGGTGGCGGATTGGGGTCCAGAAGGGCTTTCAGGGTGCAAGCTCTGAGAAGGAGTTTGGGTGCAGGAGGACTCACTTCTGGGGCAGGAGATTGGGTGCAGGAGAGGGCTCAGGGCTGGGACGGGGTTCAGGAAGCAGGCTCTGGCTGGGCACCATTTAACTGAGACAGCTTCCAATTGGTAGAACGGGGGTTAAGGCAGGCTTACTCCTGCCCTGGCCTTGCTCCACTCCTGAAAACATCTGGCATGTACAGCAATAGCTCCATGGTACCATGGGCTGCCCCTCATCCACAGGCACTGAGCCCACAGCTTCTATTCCCCAATACTGATCAATGGGAGCTGCAGGCATATTAGAACTCACTACTCAAATAATTCAATTTAAGCACAAGAGAGAAATGAAAATTATGAAATGCACAAACCAGTCAAAAAACAAAAATAACCCACTTTGCAAGCAGTAAAAGGAATAATAACAATCTCATATGAGAGGGAGATGAGAGGGAAGGACAGTATGTGTTTGTGAGAATGACAGAGATTTGCATTGCCAAGCTCCCTCCATCCCCTTCTGTCTGGGTCTAGGACTACACTACAGAATTTTTGAGCAAAAACTCGCGGAGCATCCACACCTCAAGTGTGTTTTTGCACAAGTAAAATGAAAAAACAGAGGTTTTTTTCCCAGTATAGGAATTACTCCTTCTACGAGGAATAACTCCTTTTTGCACAAGATTTCTAGCGCTAAAAGATGGCCATTCACAGAATGGCCATCAGAGCACCTGTGCTTTTTCCCATAGGGGTTTCTTGCACAAAAACCCCTGCAGAGTGTACAGACCTGCCTTTTTGCACAAGAGCTGTAGTGTTAAAAGGAGTTATTGCTCCTGGGGAGAGAAATAACTCTACCGACAAAAGCCCTCTGTTCTGCCGATTTACTTGCGCAAAAGTGTACTTGAAAAAACGTGCTTGAGGTGTGGCTGCTCTGCCAGTTTTTGCGCAAAAACCTTGTAGTGTAGACATAGCCTGTGTGGAAATGGGGTACAGGAGTGGGAGGAGGAGGGATACCCTGACATCAGTGCCCTCCCCTTTGTCCCTCCCACACCCTGCACAGGCAGGAGGCTCCCAGGGGGCAGCTCCAAGGCAGAGGGCAGGAGGAGCATGACAGTGGGTGGAAGGGCAACTGAAGTGCCAGCGCTTGATAGTTTCTTGGCCAAACCAGTCAGGATCACCTGTCAGAGGCTCCAAGATCTACTGGTAAATCCTGATCTACTGGTAGGTGACCCCCTGTGCTAGAGAGATGAAGGGAATGCTACAAGTGTTTTATACAAGTAATTTTTTTTAGAGTTTGTGTTATGTTGTGCACACTTCCTACCCCAAGAAAAGACTCAACTAGAAACTCCCGACGTGTTTAGCATCTACAGGAATGAAAATAGGTCTAAAAGGGTAGCTTGCAATGAAAGCAAAAAAGATCCCACTACACTTTAGGATCAGATAACCAGGACAGTATAAAAGGTTGAAACAATAAATAAGGACCATGGGTGGCTGTAGAAAATCAGGCCAGAAGATCAATGTCTTCAGTTTTCAGCTGCTGTTGATGTAGTTTTAAACAGCCAAGATATATGGCTTCTGGTATGGTAGTTTTCACAGGAGTGGAGCAGATTACAACAGTATTACACACACAAAAACAATGTGTGTGTTCAAAACTGCTGGCAGATGAAACTCACTGGCTCAGAGTCTCCCAACAGTTACACTTGCAGCACACAGAAGTCAGATTGTTGCTGGGAAGAAAGTGAGAGAGAAGCTGGCCCAGTATAGTTATAAACATCTAACCAAAGCCCCAGTTCAGCTCCCATTTACAGTGAGGAGAGAATTGCTTCCTAGGTGTCTTAGATTCCCCATTTATCTCTTCCCTTAGATCAAATCCTTTACTGTATTTATTCTCTCTTATAAATTTGATCAGACATTCCAAACAATTGAATTGCAGTGTGATACAAAGCTTAACTTTAACTTTGAAAGGAGACATTATTTGCTAAGGACAGCAACAAAAGCTCACAGTTCTAGAGTTTTGGAAGCATGGGTAGTAATAAAAATTATTTTTAAATTTCTAAAGGGGGGAGGGGAAAAATTTAATGAATATGGTACTGCTAAATGATTAAGGAGAGTCTTTCACTCTCCTGTGGATTGATTAAACACTATTTATTAATGGAAACAGTCAAAACTGGCCGCAAGTTTTAAAAAATTGCAGAATGAACATACGAACATATTTAACAAGTCCTTAAAATGACAGTCCTAAACAAATATCTCAGGTTCCAATATCAGTAGTTCCAAAAGCAAAGAAAGTGTGTTAACCACTATACACTAATGTATGAATGTATCAGTACTAACTTTACAATTACAATACAGTCCCAATCCATAGCTACAATGAGATGCTGTTGCATGAATGTCAGTGCAATTAATGCATATTAAAAGTGAAATATTTTTCCAGACACCAGTTTTAAAAATATGTAAAAAAAATTAAAACCAAAACTATAGAGTTGCGCAAATTTATGGTACTGCAGGACTGAAACTGGCCCCGTATATACTAATTAATATTCAGTTTGTCGCATTGCTGCAAATTAGCTAGTGAGACTGAGTCAAAGTACAAGAAAATCCCTCAAATCAATGCACAGGTTAATCCAGGGCTACTCAACATGTGACCCATGGCCCACGTGCAGCCCTCAGTGCCATTTGGGTTTACATGGGGCTCAACACGCAGCCCGCGGGTGAGATCTTTTGAACTTGGGCTCCACTGGGAACACCCTCTACAACAGTGAGGCATCTCCCAAGTGCATTGAAAGAAGCAAGCAGACAGGCTGGCTGGAACAGACAGGTACAGGGTGTTGGTGTTTCTAGCCCCCCAGAGAGGAGGTGCCAGGGGCACTGTGTGAATGAAGCTATTTGCATGTATTTGCATATATAATTGCATGTATAAGCAACCACACTTAAGTTGCAGGCTTCGGCATGTGCTATGAGTATCATTGCGGCCCTTGGGGCTTCCAAAGTTGAGTAGTCCTGGGTTAATCATATATTTTCAGTCTCAAGGCTATATATACTGCCATGAGACTGCATACTGCTATGCAATTGGTTCCATTACACAGATGTCATCATGATGCCATCATGAATTAGCACCTGAGTAAATGACAAAAGAATTTGATCCAAGGTTTCTGAAAATACTGTAGAAAGGCAGTGAAAATGTTGTCGTTTCAATTCCTCTATTAGTGATGGGCAACCTTTGAGGCCCTCGTATTTTCCTACTTCCCCCCACACACACTTTTAGAGTGCTGTGAATCAGCTGATTTGCAGCATTCAAGCTGTGAGAGGGATGGGGAGGAGCAGGGTGTGAATCAGCCAATTCTTGGCACTCCAGAAATGCTGGGAGGAAGATTTGGAGAAGGAGCATGGCATACTCAGTGGAGGAGGCAGGGAAGAGGCCAGGCAGGGATTTGGGGGAGGGCCTGAAGAGGAGGGAGAGCCACTCTTGGCAAAATGAGAAGTGACATGTAGTTAAAGCAAGGGCACATGTGAGGCTCATACTAATCGCACACAACACTGTGAGAGCCATATTCTCCCTCTGCTTTTTGTTACTTTGCTGGTAATTTAATTTGCCTCTAATAATGCATCACTTTGTGTTGAAAAGGCATGATAAAGGGAGAGAATCAAGTGTAATGCATTTAATTTTATTCTTAGGGTCATGGTTAGTGCACATGGTTAGTGCAATTTCAATCTTGCAGCCCACTGAGATGAAGGATGGCTACTCATGCAGCCCACTCACAAGACTTGGTTGCCCATCACTTTTCCACATAATAACTGCAGTTAAAAACGCTTCTCCTGTGTTACTAATATCACTCAAGGTGAGCTGGTTTCCTCTGATAACAGATTTGATTGACCACAAATCTGAAAGAATCTAAAATCTCACATAATTTGTGCATGACTTTGTACATAAAATACACACACACAGGGGGCCCAATCCCACAAGCCTGTTCTCCTTAGGATTGCTTGTCTGACTACAGACCACTCACATGAATAATGGTTTGAAGGACTGGGCCCAAGCAAGCTATAATACTCTATAGTTCTAAAGCATCTTTCATCCAAGGCTCAAAAGCCTTTTACTAAGGTAGGTATTATCCCAGGCTTGACAGATGGGGAAATTGAGACATTGAGAGGCTAAGGGTCAAATTTTCAAATGTCCTCTAATTTTGGTTTTCTGAATGTTTGGGTTCCCACCTTCAGACAGTTGTTGGCACAATCTAGTTTTCAGTTAGAGTGTTGAGTACTCAGAATCTCTGAACATCAGGGCCAAGGTATCCAACACTGAGCATACAAAAATTGGAGCTGCATTTGAAAACTATGGGCCAAGTGCCCTATCCAAGGACAGAGATCGTGTCAGTGGCAGAGTGAGGAACAAAATCCAAGACTCCTGACTCTCAGCTGCCTGTGCTAAACACTAGGTAATACTGCCACATTAACACAATAGCATATGGAATTCAAGCACACAGCAGCAAACTGGAAATCAAACCCTTTTCTTTTAGAAATGTCTCCTAAGAGAAATTAACAAGGCTTGACTGTGAGAAATAAACTGGATTGTGGTGCTGAAGCTATCTCATGGTTGATACTTAATAAAGTTTATTTCTGAACCTCCAAACCAGTGTAATTGCCATCCTCACTGGGATAAGTTTCTCTGATCTTCCACCTGCAGCAGCTCGGCATCAGGGCACTGCTCTCCATCTCAGCAGAGCCAAAACGCCAGTGAATGTACTGTCTGTAAGCACAGTGACGAAGCTGGTTATTGACAGTCTCAGTATTCAAGTCCAACAAGGGATCTTTGTAAAGCAGGATAAACTCCAGTGTTGATCTAGAAAGAACAAGCTGCTCAAACAAAGCCGAGGTTGTAATGCATGACCCTTCTCTTCTTCGGCAACAGAGTTGCTCCCGGAAAGCCTGCGTTTGATGGCATCTCCCACAGCAGCACCAAGAAGGCCGGTCATGGGATGGAGAAGTTTCCCCTTTACTTTCAATGGGCTGCATCTCATGGGCTTGTGCTAAGGCAGGGATGTGATGAGGAGACTGTGCTGTGAGCTTGATCATGTCAGTAAAATCCCCAGTGTATCTCTGCAGCCAAAACATTATCAGAGGAGACATAGTGAAAATGAGAAAATCCAGCATTTTCTTTGCTCTGTGTCAGCATCTGCACTTACCTGTCATCAGAGAATCCCTGGGTATTCACAGATTTGATTCTAACTGCTCAACCTTCACATTTAATGCTACAGGCCCAGATATAACAACAGTAAAGAGGCAGATCAGGTAAATGAACCATTTAGGGTTTGAATTCTAATGCAGAACATACCTTTATAGTTCATTCCCACCTCACAAGCAGCAGGCTCAGAATATTATTTTAAATAGGTTTTGTATGTTTTTCCCCAATGACTGGCTGCATTGGGGATTGGATTGTATGCAATATTGTTGTAGCTGAAGACATTAGAGAGACAAGGTGGGTAAAAGGAGTCTTTTATCCATATTGTAGTCACAGCACGGGCCTCTGCAGGAGAAGTTTACCCCATGCATGTCTGTCCATGTTCCTTAATCCTTGCATTATGTATTATTAGCACTGGATGAGAATGTCTATTTTCTGATCCTTGGCTTGTCTCTGGAGACAGCCAGGAAGAGATCCAATGAGTGCCAATTATAGTGGTGGTCTTTTTGTGATGTGAACAGCCACCCAATGGGACTGAGAACTCCCAAGGAGTATGTCAATTCTGCAATACAAGAGCTGTGGCATCGGCTGCAGCTGGTTTGGGTCAGCTTACTCAGGCTCACAGGACTCAGGCTGCAGTCTAGTCTCTGAAAACCCACCATGGGGGAGAGTCTCAAGGCCAGGGTTCCAGCCTGAGCCCATAAGTCTGCACTGCTATTTCTATCCCCACAAGTTCAGGTCAATCGATCCTGGCTCTGAGACTCTGGCTACATCTACACTCACAGCTCATATCCATGCTCTGAAATTGATCCACTGGCAGTCAATATAATGGGTCTAGTTAAGACCACCAAACCGACCACAGATTGCTTTCCCATCAACCCTATAACTCTACCGTGGATTAAAAGAGCAAGGGAAGTCAATGGGAGAGTTTCTCCCGTTGATTCCCTGCAGTGCAGAACCCTGGTAAATCGACTCAACGCATGTCAATTCCAGTTATGTTATTCATGTAGCTGAAATTGCATAGCTTACTCAGGCTCACAGGACTCAAGATGCAGTCTAGTCTCTGAAAACCCACCATGGGGGAGAGTCTCAAGGCCAGGGTTCCAGCCTGAGCCCATAAGTCTGCACTGCTATTTCTATCCCCACAAGTTCAGGTCAATCGATCCTGGCTCTGAGACTCTGGCTACATCTACACTCACAGCTCATATCCATGCTCTGAAATTGATCCACTGGCAGTCAATATAATGGGTCTAGTTAAGACCACCAAACCGACCACAGATTGCTTTCCCATCAACCCTATAACTCTACCGTGGATTAAAAGAGCAAGGGAAGTCAATGGGAGAGTTTCTCCCGTTGATTCCCTGCAGTGCAGAACCCTGGTAAATCGACTCAACGCATGTCAATTCCAGTTATGTTATTCATGTAGCTGAAATTGCATAGCTTATGTTGTCTTTCTGTTATAGCAGGGGTGGGAAACCTAAGCTGGATGCAGCCCATAGCTTGCCTGGTTCTGGCCCCCAAGGCTCACTCCCCCCTTCCCCCGCACTGGGGAGCCCACCCTAGCACTCCAGCCCCACCCTGCTGCCCTGCACAGCTGGAGCATACAAAATCTACTAGGCTGGGCCTTCCTAGGCTCTAGTGTATGAGGGGAATGTGAGGAATGTCTTTCTCCTTCTCAGTCTGGGGCCATTTCAGTGAAGGTTGTTTTTTTTATTTTGCTTCTCACTTGTGTCCAGCTCCCACCTGACTTTTCTGTGGGTCAGCAGCCCCCAACCCAAAAAGGTTCCCCACCCCTGTGTTATAGCATAGATGTGGCCTCTGTGCTACAGGTTTGTTATTGCTATGGAGATGTACCCCAAGTTGTTTCACACAGGAGTAAGAACACCTACAAAAGAGACCTTTTAGTTTCCAGGCAAGTTCCCAACACAGTCAACTTCAGACACTTCCCAAGATCACAAGAGTAGTTCTTCCAAAATTTAGCTAAAAACTTGGGGAGAAAACGTAAGTCATTCACAAAATACATCCCCAAAGCCAACAAAGTAAAGGCTTGCGTTTACCTGAACAATCTCGCCTTTAACATTCTGTAGACTTGTCCTCAACTGTTTGTCTACCAGAATAATGTGTGGCTCATCAACAAATGACACGTACATCAAGGTCTGTGAGACAAAAGACATTAGAATCCTCAGCTGGCATATTTATTTAACATACTCAGGACTTACACTCTATTGATCTGACCCATAACTAGAATCCTGTCTCACTCAGATAAAAATCTTGCTGAAGTTATAGGGGGTAGCATGGAAGAAGGCAGGGCATTGGGAGCAGGTAAGGAAGATAAAGGGAACAATCAGGTGTTAGCTTTGGCTGGAGCCCAGGGAGCGGGAAGAGAGGAGGATGGAGCTGCAAGTGGGAGTTAGATTCTACAAGGCTTTAGAGTTAAGCTTTTGAGCTGAGATTCGGGCATGTAACTTTCTTACCCCAGATCTACAGTAAAAGGGAACACCGAATCAAGATATACAACTCCTGCTACATTAATTATGTAGCTGGAGTCAATGTACCTTGTTTTTAGTTTCCACAGCAGGAGGCTGATGGGTTTCCCTTACTCCTTGCAAAAGCAGGAGTACCAGCCACCAACAAGGGTGCCTCTGAGTTTGATTTAGCGAGTCTTTAGGTCCTGCCTCTTCCCCACTTCTACCTGCCCTTTCTCTGCCTCTATCCCACTTGCTCCAAGCTCCCTCCCCTGAGCAATGCAGTCTGGAGTTGTAGCAGGGCTCTGGCATGAGCAGCAGAGGTTGCCCTTCCCCCCTGCCCTTACCAACAGTGGCAAGGCAAACTGGAGCAATGGGGCTCCACTCCCTTGGCTGCCGGTCACACTGTTCCACTTGCTGGCAATGAATGCAGACGATCAGTCCCGCTCTCCACCCAAGTGACGTGGCCAGCAGCCAGGGGAGCAGAGCCATGCTGCTCATCTTCCCCCTGCCATTTTAAGTGTGTATGATGGGTCCAACCCCTGATGTGAGTACTAGACTCTTGCTAGTCCCCCAGGGCCAGCCAGAAGCTCTGGCCTCTTGTCCCTCCCACCCATAGCATTTGGGGAGTCGTGTGCCTCCCCTCCCCACACGTTGCCCCTGACGGGAGGAAACTCCCATTGAAGACAACCCTCCCGCTACCACTGTGGTTCTCAACCCACAGCCCAATCATTACATAACTTCACCCCGTGTGACAGCTTTGGGACCTGTGGAAACCACCCCCACAGATTCCTATTGATGCTCACAATAGGAAACACCTCTTCCTCTTGGGGACCACAGGAATGTGCCGACAGCTGAGTGAAGCAAGCAGTGGGAAGCCAATCTAGCCCCGCTGTGCTGTTGGTAGTGGCTGTTGAGACACCTGGCTGGAGTTGCGCTTCAGAGCAAGAATATTGCACCAGGATCCCATAGAACTTGCTGCCCATGCTCAGGCCTTGAGTCCACAGCCTCCACAAACTGCAGAGACTGGCTCTGTGGGGTTTCCCAGAGGCCCTGTGCCTGGAGGTTTTTGGGGTACTGGCTGGGTGAGGAAGGAAGTTTGGATCCCTAATTATAAGACACCTGGCTGGAGTTGCGCTTCAGAGCAAGAATATTGCACCAGGATCCCATAGAACTTGCTGCCCATGCTCAGGCCTTGAGTCCACAGCCTCCACAAACTGCAGAGACTGGCTCTGTGGGGTTTCCCAGAGGCCCTGTGCCTGGAGGTTTTTGGGGTACTGGCTGGGTGAGGAAGGAAGTTTGGATCCCTAATTATATTTCTATGTAGCTGTCCTCAAGGAGTTCTGCAGTGCTGAAGTCCACTATTCTACTCACATCACTCTCCACATGCAACCCACTCCTGCAAGGTGCACACTGGGTGTAGGAGAACTCAGACCAGCTGTGTGTTGGGAATGAATCCACAAAGACCTGATGAAGGGCACAGTGAAGGACACAATACACTATATTTTCCTACTATTCAAGCAGTTAATTGCATCCCTTACCCACTTTGGCCCCGGAGCAGACTCGCACTTCTTCCTGAAGTAATATTTCTTGATGGATGCCTTGCAGCAGGGAAAAGTGTATGAAGTAATAAGAAAATCAATAAGGAACTGAGCCTGCATGCAAAAGAAGAGAAAGCAGTGATTCCATTTTCTTAATGAGGCTGCATCTCCAAAGCAGTTCCATCAGTACAGGAAATAAATCTCTTACCAAGCCAAAATAGGACAGCACAGACCCGATGTATACCAGCAGCTCAAAGATGTTAAACTGTCCAGCCTGAGGCAAAGCAGAAGAGAGTAATTTGAATTCAGACCATCTCCCGTCAGTTTGTTGAAGAACAGCAACAGTTGCTGCATGACTGGGCTCAGCCAAAGCTGTGACATATGCAAGGTTTCTAGCTTGTCTGACTTGATTGGACTTCAAGTACCTAACTGGGTGGAATGTGTTTAAATTAAAGGGTTGTTTTACTGCATCCAACTGGGAGCTAAGGATTCCCTTTTAGCCCTGTCACTCTCTGCTGGAAGGACCAGTTGTCTTCTTCCAATCACAGCCAGTTGCTTTTCCCAAGGTTCCCTTCCCAGCTGGAAAGGGAACCAGAAATAGGTAAGAAGTCCTCACCTGTACAAATCAACAATGACACAAATGTTCTCTCTTCACTGATTCTCCCCCTTCAGTAGGAACTTCTTCCTCTCAGCTTCTGACAGCAGGAAAGAAGCAGTACTCTCTTCTGGATACATTGATTCCACTTTAAAAAGGGCCCAACCGCATTATCTGCTCCTCCCTGATGCTCAGACCTATGAGTGGTACCTAACCTGCCAGCCTAGAGACCAAGCCTTGATCTCTGCTCCCACCCCATGGCAAGGCTGAGTTTGAAGATGCATTGGATAAGACTTGATCCTGCAAAGTGCCTAGGATTCTGAACTCCTTGCAAAAGTGGTCCTCCATTTCTGTAGTGTTTTGAAGATGTCAAACTCTCTCTTAACAGGGATAATATGTAATAATTATACCATGCCCTTTAATGGCACCTCCCCTCCAATAACCTCAGTGCAAACAGGTACTGAGCACGACCTCTGTTTTACAGATAGGGGAACTGAGCTACAAAGAGGGGAAGTGACTTGTCCAAGGTGACAGAGAAAGTCACCGTCAGAACCAAGATTGTTACCAGGTCACCCCACAGTCATTGCTGTAATCACTAGGAAGAGCTTTCTCCCATAAGGGCTGTACTGTTATTACTGGAGTTATTTTTGCCAAAGGGTCAGAAATTCTCCTTTCTTTTTGGAAGCACGCAGGTTTGCAGCCGGGATGAGAAAGAGGGTTGCATTTACTGTGCCGAAGACGAGGATGTCGAATCGTATTCCATAGGCTTTGATCAGTGTCCGCTCCTCCTTTCCATTGGGGAGTTTGTAGTACTTCGCAAATCTGTCAAAAATCAAACAAGAAGCTTAGAAAAATCAGAGCAATGTGCAGAAAGGGTTCTTCGGTGCGGAATCAAAAGGTGACTTTTTGAGTAAAGGCTCTGGAGAAGCCATCAGCTACTGGAAAAGCAGAAAGAAAATCCTAGGATCTCAAGATTTCAGTTCCTGGCAATGGTGGGAACCCTACTGTCTCCCAGGCACTGGTGCTTTTACCACTTTGTTGTTTGGGGGTTTCTAGTCATTTCTGCTGCTCTGTTTCCAAGCATCCATGAAAGTATTAGCTGCAAGGATAACTCAGGGTATGTCTACCCTACAGAGTTTTTTGGAAAAATGGCCATCTTTCCGATAAAACTTGAATTACATCCACATTGCAATGACATTCTTCCAAAAGTAAATCGAAAGAATAGTTTTTTTTCTGACAGCAGTACTCCTCTTTCTACAAGGAAGAACACCTTTTCCAAAAGAGTCCTTTTGGAAAAAGGCGTGTGTGGACGGGGAGGAGGGTTTTCTTTCAAAAGAAGAGGCCTCCAAGAAATAACACAGGTGCCTTGGTGGACACTCCATCCATACTAATCACAACTCTATAGTTCCTGTCTCCTGCCAGCTCTTAAAGCTGCAGGCAGGGCCGGCTTTAGGAAGTGCAGGGCCCAATTCAAACCATTTTGGTGGCCCCTTCCCCCCCAGGATTTTTTGTTGATTAAAAAAAACCCCACAACAAACCACAAACACACACAAATATCACATCAGAAGTAGATCTGATCAAAATGTTTATCTATATAATTGAACATTTTTTTTAAAAAAATGCCATCCTTTATTATGCACAATTTTACACAAAATTAAATCAGTTGCCTTAAGTGTAGGTCAAATATTTTCAATTGTAAACTATTCAATTTTTTCAATAAAGTTTAAAGTTTTATTTTTAAAAAGTTACTAGAGAGTGTTGCAGTTTTCTGTTACATTGATTTACTTTTTAAATAGCAAGAATGGAGTCTTTGTTAAGAAAGTGACAGTTCTGTGGTCAAATTCCAGTCCTTAGTGATTTCAGCACCAATGATCTCACTAGGTAATATGGTACCTCACCACCATTGCCTCTTTTGCACTGCCCTTCAACACACTGCCTGCATGTTGAGTCCAAGGTCAGTCTACACAAGATTTTATCAATGATTTTTGCTCAAGCGATCACTGAGACAAGGCAAGGACTCTCAACTGATTCTAGTCAGCTCTGCCTTTAAACACTGGGGCTGTGTCTACACTGCACCCCTTTTCCGGAAAAGGGATGCAGATGAGACAAGTCGGAATTGCAAATGAAGCAGGGGATTTAAATACCCCCCGCTTCATTTGTATAAACATGGCTGCCGCTTTTTTCCGGCTCGGGGCTTTGCCAGAGAAAAGCACCAGGCTAGACGGGATTTTTCAGAAAATAAAGCCTTTTCCAGAAGGTCCCTTATTCCTGATTTTAAGAGGAATAAGGGACCTTTCGGAAAAGGCTTTATTTTCCGAAAGATCCCGTCTAGACGGGCACTTTTCTCCGGCAAAGCCCCAAGCCGGAAAAAAGCGGCAGCCATGTTTATACAAAAGAAGCGGGGGGG